TGGAGTGAGTTTAAACAAGTTAGAAGCCTTGGGAACGAATGGATTTGTCTGTTAAAAAAAACAGTGTAGGGGAGTTAGTAGCTGGGGAGATGGAGGTTTTGGGTAGATGGGGGAAAATATTTTGAGGACTTTTTAAATGTCGACGAAAGAAAGGGTGGCGGTAATTTAATCACTGGCCTGGGAGGCTATACCATCTTTTAGGAGTGAAGAAGAACAAGATGTGAGGTGTGGGGGAGGTGCGTGAGTCATTTACGTAGGGAATGAAAAGGGGGTAAAGCAGCTGGACTGACGGGATCATGACAGAAAATGTTAAAAGCAAGGGGGATATAGTAATTGGAGTGTTGGTTATTTTTGTTTAATAAATGTATGAAAAAAGGGGAAGGTACCTAGGGATTGGCAGAGAGCATGTATAATCCCTTTATATAAAGGTAGGGGGACAAAGTGATTGTAAAAATTATAGAGGAATAAGTTTTACTGAGTATACCGGAGAAGTTATGGCTAGGGTTATAATTTGAAAGATTAGAGGTTAAGACAGAATGTCAGGATGCGGATGAGAAGGAGGTTTTAGAGTGGGTAGGGGATGTGTAGATCAAGTGTTTACATTGAAAGATTATGTGAACAGTATTTAGATAAAGTAAGGGAAGTTTTTTATAGCATTTATAGATTTACGAAAAGGCAATATTGATAGAGTGGCTAGAGGACAATGTGGCAGCTGTAGCACCAAAGTGTATATGTGAAAGTGGTTAAGTTACTAAATGCTGAAAAGAGTTTTATGATGATAGATTGAGGCTCCGGTTAGGATGTTGTAGAAGAGAGGGAGACTACTTCCGTTAATAACATGTAGGTCTTAGTACAGGGATGTTGTAATGTACACCATGGTTGTTTAATATATTTAGAAAGATGGGGATGTAAAAGACTTACAATCACTCTTATAACTTTATATTCTATTTTATTTAATCAAAAATCATTGTAAACAAAACAAAACATTACAATTACACCTTTTCTAAATTCATCTTCTCCTTTTCAAAAGTTACTAAACAATACAAAACATCACATTAAATCTAGAAACGTCCGATGAGACGAAGTTGTGTATAAGAACAAGATATGAAATGTAATCACGCTAGAAGGGGTCAAACTAATAACAGCCGTATATAAGTCTAGACTATTAATTCAAGATGCCGCATCCATCATAAGGCGTGCTACAGACCCTACTCACGAGCATGTATAGAGTACACTCTCACCAGGATCAGCTCAAGATATAAGTGATTAATGGCGAAAATGTCGTGGGCAGGAATGAGTATGGAAGGAAGTAAGAAGTGAGGTTTGTGTGAGTTAGACTCATGTTGGTGGTTGATTTGCGGATTCGCGCGTGCAATGGATAGAAAGATTCTCGTCCATACGATTGGAGGTTTGTGAATGACTATAGGAACAATTGTTTTGGTCTAGAGTGGTACGGGATCTGAAGAATAAGGTGTATTATGTGTGGTGTAGTGTGTGTGAAGTGTATATGTGGGTGAGACAAGATGAAGAACGTTTATGTCATGTGTGTTATAGAGATGCGGCATAAAGAAGGAAAGTATGAAAAGCATAGTAGTACCAACACTCTTTATGGGTGTGAAGTTGGGTTGTGAATGCAGCAGCGAGGAGGCGTTTGGAGGCAGTGCAGATGTCCTGTCTAAGGGCAATGTGTGGTGTAAATATTATGCAGAAAATTCGGAGTGTGGAATTAGGAGAAGGTGTGGAGTTAATAAAAGTATTAGTCAGAGGGCCTGAAGAGGGGTTGTTGAGGTGGTTTGGCCATTTAGAGAGAAGGATCAAAGTAGAATGACATGGAGAGAGCGTTTAATCTGTATGGGAAGGAAGGCGGGGTAGGGGACATCCTCGAAAAGGTTGGAAGGAAGGGGTAAGGGAGGTTTTGTGGGTGAGGGGCTTGGACTTCCAGCAGGCGTGCGTGAGCGTGTTCGATAGAGATGTGAATGGAGACGAATGATATTTGGGACCTGACGATCTGTTGGAGTGTGAGCAGGGTAATATTTAGTGAAGGGATTCAGGGAAACACACACACACACACATATATATATATATATATATATATGTATATATATATATATATATATATATAATATAAATATATTATATATATATATATATTATATATATATATATATATATAAAATAATATATATATATATATATATATTTTATATATTATTGGTAAAGCACTGCGTACCTTGTCCTAAGGTTCGTAGGTTCGAGTCTCCTCAGCAGAGATCAGTGTTTGTGTATATTTCGCATGCTCTCGCGAATTCCTTGCATTGTTCAAATCTCTAGTAAGGCTGATGCATGCAGGGGATGAGATGAAAAGCTGTAAGCCTTCTCCCTGAAAGCTGGCTGCCTTGGATCAAACGTGTAGCTCATGCTACACGCCAAGGTATTGGTCCAGTGTGGTTAGATGGTAAAGCACTGCGTACCTTGTCCTAAGGTTCGTAGGTTCGAGTCATCCTTCAGCCAGAGATCAGTGTTTGTGTATATTCGCATGCTCTCGCGAATTCCTGCATATATATATATATATATATTATATATATATATATTATATATATATATATATATTAATTTTGTGTGTGTGCGTGTGTGTCTGTGTGTGTGTCTGTGTGTGTGTGTGTATGTATATATTAAGTCGGCCGTCTCCCACCTAGGCAGGGTGACCCAAAGAGAAAGAAAATCCCAAAAAAGTAAATACTTTCATCATCATTCAACACTTTCACCTCACTCACACATAATCACTGTTTTTGCAGAGGTGCCCAGAATACAACAGTTTAGAAGTATATACATATAAAAATACACAATATATCTCTCCAAACTGCCAATATCCCAAACCCCTCCTTTAGAGTGCAGGCATTGTACTTCCCATTTCCAGGACTCAAGTCCGGTTATATATAAAATATATATATGTCGTGCCGAATAGGCAGAACTGGCCATCTTGGCTTAAATAGCAACGCTCATCTTGCCATATAAGACAAGCGAAAATTTGTGTATGCAATAATTTCGCCAAAATCATTCTGAACCTAAAGAAAAAAATATATTTCATTGTGTTTGTTTAGTATTAAATTATTGTAAACAAATCTAAAATATATTTATTTGGGTTAGGCTAAAATAAATTATGATTGTTATAATAAGGTTAGGTAAGTTTTCTAAGTTCCTTTTGGTGCAAAATTATAAATTTGTACATCAACATTAATGATAAAAATATATGTTTAAACGTATAAGAGAAAATTTTAGAAAACACTTAATTTTAAATGAGTTCTTGCTAATTGACCAGTTTTGCATATTCGGCACGACAAAATATATAAAATATATATATATATATATATATATATATATTTTATATATATATTATATAAAATATATATAAATATATATTTATATATATATATATTTATTTAATATATATATATATATATTACAGGACAAGCCACAAGGGAGGGGTGGAAATCTTTAGCTTAAGTACTTTCACACTTCTCAGTGCGTTATCAGGAGCGTGCCATTTTACAAGGGAGCAACCAAAGCAGGGAGAGGGTCTTAGAGTAGCGCAGGGGTCACCGGCCCCGGTTACCCTTAGACTGGGTTAGCGGTTGATGCCAAAACCCCCCTTCCCATCATCCCCCTACACCCCATAGGGGGTAGGAGGGTTTCTGAGTGTCAAAGGAAATTATAAGAAAAGTTTCTCTTTAGATAGTAGAAGGAAGCTATTTTCTCTTGACCTTTTCAGATAATAAAAAGGATACAATGTGCTCTTTGTCCATTTAATTGCCCTCCCTGGGTCTCGTACGTTCTTTTGCATTTCTCAGAAGTACTCTTCCAAAATTTTCTACTATTTTCCAGTGGCTGTTAATTTGCCATACATGGGGGGCTTCTAGTAACCCAAAAAAATTTTTTTATGATCTAAAAATTTTACTAACCCCTTTACTTTCCTTACTTATCTTGTTGTTGCACTGTATGGCCCCTTAACGCTACAGGTGTTATATAACCATCAAAAAACGTGGTGGAAGTTTTGGTCGTAGACCGGAGGGCGTTTACCAAACCATCAACCCACTGCATAATGAACATCCTGTGTTCTGTATGTATTGTTGTTTTAAGATTGTGTACAATGGCTTTACTAAATAATTACGAGCTTGTATAACCCTTTAAATTTTAGTTGAATACTTTTTTTTTTCTTTAGTTTCAAGAGGGGAAATTCAAATTTTTTCTTTCCATGACAGAAGTTGGGATTAATCTGGGCAGATCCCACCCGGGGGAGTGATTTCTGAACTAACGTGGCTAAAAATAGCGTTCGACTCCTGCCCTGTCCTGACTGAGTATTTATGCTGGGCAATTCTGGTTTCCAGAAGTTTACCTGTTTGACCCCATATGGGTAGTAGGGGGATGATGGTAGGGTGGAGTTGGCACCGACCACTAACCCAGTCTAAGGGTAACCATGGCCAGTGACACCTACGCTACTCTGAGACCTCTCTCCCTGCTTGGGTTGCTCCCTTGCAACATTGCGCAGCTCCTGATGACGCACTGAGAAGTGTGAAAGTACTTGAGCTAAAGATTTCCATCCCCCCCCCGTGACTTGTCATGCATAGTTAAGATCGTCCGTCTGCTATTGTTTGCATATATATATATATATATATATATATATATATATATATATATATATATATATATATATATATATATGCAATAAGATCACAGTAAACAGGTGATTTCAAAATATGCAAAACAACCACTCTGAAAGAATAGAGAAATTCCAAGCGCTTTCGTGACTACTCACATTATCAAGGAACTATGATAGTTCTTGATAATGTGAGTAGTCACGAAAGCGCTTGGAATTTCTCTATTCTTTCAGAGTGGTTGTTTTGCACATATATATATATATATATATTATATATATATATATATATATATATATATATATATTATATATATATATATTTATATTTATATACATATATTTGCAGCATCTCTTTCATCGGTCTGTATTAAACGTCCTATGGGGAATGGTGACGGGATCCAGGTTCAAATACGGTGACAAGAAATTAGCCAAGACCCTTGAAAGCTTCGTGAAGTTGGCCGATATTAACCTGGTCAGCATCATCTTCTTCATCCCCGGGGTGGTCAAGGCCATGATGTACCTGCCAATGCTTGACAGGTTCGTCAAGCCCATCGGCAACATCTGCAAATTCATCAGGGTAAGATATCTTGGAGGAATAGCTGGCTGATGTTTTGACCAGTGTAAGACTAGATTGTGATGGCACACTTCTGACAATAGTGATGGAGAGACACGATGCAGTGTAAGCTTGTAGTGGTGCAGTGTTTTTCCTCTGTGTTGAGCTTTAAGCTATGATTTCATAAAGCTCTACCGAGCAAAACACTGTTTATATCGCTACATCCTCTAACCTTCAATGAAGATTTCCTCGTTCTGTTGAGAGGCTCTTAATTCAAGACTTGTCTTTCCCTTTCCTTCTATTGAACCTGAGCGTCTAGTACCCCTATAGGGCTTATAGCTTCCCATAGATATGATTATTCAAAAATACCTATTGTGACCAGTACGATATTTGGATCTCTAAAAAAATTAATGCCCCAAGTATAAGTCGTGAATCATTCCAGCAGTTTAAAAGAGAAACAAAAGAGGTGTAGAACACAGAGATATCGTATGATAAAAGACACTAAAACGCTTTGGACATATTATCTAGGTAATGTTTCGCTTGTTCTTCAGTGTAGCGAGACAGCAGGTCGGGCGAAGTAAATCGAACTCAGTATAATTATTAGCATAGGCACCACTGTGACCACAAATAACCTTCCTATGGTGTATAAATATACCTAGTTGGATGAATCTTATTGTGGCTAGCTGGTCCAGTGGCTAACGCGTCGGTCTGGAGTTTTGAGACTCTGATCGCGGGTTCCAACCCCGCCTGTGGTATGGTTTTTTTGCAATCGTGTCATTACGATTTCGTGAGTCATGTTGACGGCTTTGAGGGGACTTGAGGTAGAGTTCGTCACGGCCACGTTAGCTGGAGATTCGTCTGTAAAAACAATATGATTATATAAGCAAGGTAAAGATGTCAGCAGAGGTGTTAGTGATCGCTGATTGTCACCACAGTTCAACACTGATGGTGGAGTGAGTCGAGCTTGAGATATGAAAGGGGGACCAGAAAGCTGGTCTGAGAGCCAGTGGTTCCAGCACCCCACTCACACCCTGACTCTTTTGCGATCGCATTATTACGATTAAACAAATAACCCGCACATACGAGAGTGAAACTTGTGACGACGTTTCGGTCATAAGTTTCATTCTCCTATGTGCGGGTTATTTATATATTGCTCCAGACGTGGTATTATGCCTTTTTATTTATTACAATTTCGTGAGTCGGGAGAACTTAAAACCTTGGTGTAGCACTCTTTCAAACGAGCTCAGTTTTCTGGCTGCGTTAGTTACCATTTTGTCCTAGGCACATGTAGTATGTGTGTGTGTGTGTGTGTGTGTGTGTGTGTGTGTGTGTGTGTGTGTGTGTTGAGTTACCATTTTGTCATAGGCACATGTCGATTAGACACTAGGCCTGTAGTATGTGTGTGTGTGTGTGTGTGTGTGTGTGTGTGTGTGTGTGTGTGTGTATGTGTGTATGTGTGTGTGTGTGTGTGTGTGTGTGTGGTGTGTGTGTGTGTGTATGTGTGTGTGTGTGTGTGTGTGTGTGTGTGTGTGGGTGTGTGTGTGTGTGTGTGTGTGTGTGTGTATGTGTGTGTGTGTGTGTGTTTACTCACCTAGTTGTACTCACCTAGTTATACTCACCTAGTTGAGGTTGCAGGGGTCGAGTCCAAGCTCCTGGCCCCGCCTCTTCACTGGTCGCTACTAGGTCACTCTCCCTGAACCATGAGCTTTATCGTACCTCTGCTTAAAGCTATGTATGGATCCTGCCTCCACTACATCGCTTCCCAAACTATTCCACTTCCTGACTACTCTGTGGCTGAAGAAATACTTCCTAACATCCCTTTGATTCATCTGTGTCTTCAGCTTCCAACTGTGTCCCCGTGTTGCTGTGTCCAGTCTCTGGAACATTCTGTCTTTGTCCACCTTGTCAATTCCTCTCAGTATTTTGTAAGTCGTTATCATGTCCCCCCTATCTCTCCTGTCCTCCAGTGTCGTCAGGTTGATTTCCCTTAACCTCTCCTCGTAGGACATACATTTTAGCTCTGGGACTAGTCTTGTTGAAAACCTTTGCACTTTCTCTAGTTTCTTTACATGCTTGGCTAGGTGTGGGTTCCAAACTGGTGCCGCATACTCTAATATGGGCCTAACGTACACGGTGTACAGGGTCCTGAACGATTCCTTATTAAGATGTCGGAATGCTGTTCTGAGATTTGCTAGGCGCCCATATGCTGCAGCAGTTATTCGGTTGATGTGCGCTTCAGGAGATGTTCCTGGTGTTATACTCACCCCAAGATCTTTTTCCTTGAGTGAGGTTTGTAGTCTCTGGCCCCCTAGACTGTACTCCGTCTGCGGTCTTCTTTGCCCTTCCCCAATCTTCATGACTTTGCACTTGGTGGGATTGAACTCCAGGAGCCAATTACTGGGCCAGGTCTGCAGCCTGTCCAGATCCCTTTGTAGTTCTGCCTGGTCTTCGATCGAATGAATTCTTCTCATCAACTTCACGTTATCTGCAAACAGGGACACCTCAGAGTCTATTCCTTCCGTCATGTCGTTCACAAATACCAGAAACAGCACTGGTCCTAGGACTGACCCCTGTGGGACCCCGCTGGTTACAGATGCCCACTCTGACACCTCTCCACGTACCATGACTCGCTGCTGTCTTCCTGACAAGTATTCCCTGATCCATTGTAGCGCCTTCCCTGTTATCTCTGCTTGGTCCTCCAGTTTTTGCACTAATCTCTTGTGTGGAACTGTGTCAAACGCCTTCTTGCAGTCCAAGAAAATGCAATCCACCCACCCCTCTCTCTCTTGTCTTACTGCTGTCACCATGTCATAGAACTCCAGTAGGTTTGTGACACAAGATTTCCCGTCCCTGAAACCATGTTGGCTGCTGTTGATGAGATCATTCCTTTCTAGGTGTTCCACTACTCTTCTGATAATCTTCTCCATGACTTTACATACTATACATGTCAGTGACACTGGTCTGTAGTTTAGTGCTTCATGTCTATCTCCTTTTCTAAAGATTGGGACTACATTTGCTGTCTTCCATGCCTCAGGCAATCTCCCTGTTTCGATAGATGTATTGAATATTGTTGTTAGGGGTACAAATAGCTCCTCTGCTCCCTCTCTCAGGACCCATGGAGAGATGTTATCTGGCCCCATTGCCTTTGAGGTATCTATCTCACTCATAAGCCTCTTCACTTCTTCCTTGGTTGTGTGTACTGTGTGTGTGTGTGTGTGTGTGTGTGTGTGTGTGTGTGTGTGTGTGTGTGTGTGTGTGTGTGTGTGTGTGTGTGTGTGTGTGTGTGTGTGTGTGTGTGTGTGTGTGTGTGAAGACGAAGTGAAACCCACGAGGACCCCTGGATGCAGGCTGCTTCACGCTGGACTCCTGGTAGTGGAAGTATGACTTCGGCCCTTCCTTGGATCGAATCTTATTGTCGCCCCAGTTTTCTCAGGCATTGCATGACACCTGGCAATTAGCGTCCCCTCCGCATGAATGTAATGATAATCACAATACTCAAGAAGACATTTATTGTTATTATTATTATTATTAATTATTATTATTATTATTATTATTATTATTATTATTATTATTATTATTATTATTATTATTATCATCATCATCATCATTGTTATGTTTATTATTATTTTAAGTGTTATCTTTATATTTACTGTTGTTTTTGTTGATGTTCATTTTCTTTTTCCTTTCCAGGAAGAAATCGAAAATTACAGAAGCAAGAAAGACTGGGAGAATATTCATTCTCTCCTGACTCTTTATCTGACAGAAATGAAGAAATATAATGGGGACCATCCAATCTTCAACGGTAAGTGACGCAAGTCCTCAAACTGACGTCACACACACACACACACACACACACACACACACACACACACACACACACACACACACACACACACACACACACACACACACACACACACACACACACACACACACACATGTTGTGCGTGCCACTTACCACTCAACACATCCCTGGAAACTGGGCAACTACCTGAGGTATGGAAGACGGCAAATGTAGTTCCCATTTTTAAAAAAGGAGACAGAAAATAGGCACTAAACTATAGACCTGTGTCATTGACGTGTATAGTATGCAAAATTATGGAGAAGATTATCAGGAGGAGAGTGGTGGAGCACCTGGAACGGAACAGGAGTATAAATGCCAACCAGCACGGATTCACGGAAGGCAAATCCTGTGTCACAAACCTTCTGGAGTTTTATGATAAAATAACAGAAGTAAGACAAGAGAGAGAGGGGTGGGTTGACTGCATCTTCTTGGACTGCAAGAAGGCCTTTGACACAGTTCCTCACAAGAGATTAGTGCAGAAGCTAGAGCATCAGGCGCATATAACAGGAAGGGCACTGCAATGGATCAGAGAATACCTGACAGGGAGGCAACAACGAGTCATGGTACGTAATGATGTATCACAGTGGGCACCTGTGACGAGCGGGGTCCCACAGGGGTCGGTCCTAGGACCAATGCTATTTTTGGTATATGTGAACGACATGACGGAAGGATTAGACTCAGAAGTGTCCCTGTTTGCGGATGATGTGAAGTTAATGAGGAGAATTAAATCTGATGAGGACCAGGCAGGACTTCAAAGAGACCTGGACAGACTGGACACCTGGTCCAGCAAATGGCTTCTCGAATTTAATCCTGCCAAATGCAAAGTCATGAAGATAGGGGAAGGGCACAGAAGACCACAGACAGAGTATAGGCTAGGTGGCCAAAGACTGCAAACCTCACTCAAGGAGAAAGATCTTGGGGTGAGTATAACACCGAGCATGTCTCCGGAAGCACACATCAATCAGATAACTGCTGTAGCATATGGGCGCCTGGCAAACCTGAGAACAGCATTCCGATACCTTAGTAAGGAATCATTCAAGACACTGTACACCGTGTATGTCAGGCCCATCCTGGAGTATGCAGCACCTGTTTTGGAACCCGCACTTGATAAAGCACGTCAAGAAACTAGAGAAAGTACAAAGGTTTGCGACAAGGTTAGTTCCAGAGCTAAGGGGAATGTCTTATGAAGAAAGATTAAGGGAAATCGGCCTGACGACACTGGAGGACAGGAGGGTCAGGGGAGACATGATAACGACATATAAAATACTGCGTGGAATAGACAAGGTGGACAAAGACAGGATGTTCCAGGGAGGGGACACAGAAACAAGAGGCCACAATTGGAAGTTGAAGACACAAATGAGTCAGAGAGATAGTAGGAAGTATTTCTTCAGTCATAGAGTTGTAAGGCAGTGGAATAGCCTAGAAAATGACGTAGTGGAGGCAGGAACCATACACAGTTTTAAGACGAGGTTTGATAAAGCTCATGGAGCGGGGAGAGAGAGGGCCTAGTAGCAACCGGTGAAGAGGCGGGGCCAGGAGCTAGGACTCGACCCCTGCAACCACAAATAGGTGAGTACACACACACACACACACACACACACACACACACACACACACACACACACACACACACACTTACAGCTTACAGGTATGATAACAGATGCCATCTTTCCAACGGGATACCAAATCCTGAGGAAAGACAGAGGGAACAGGGGGGGTGGAGGAGTGGCGTTGCTGATCAAAAATCGCTGGAATTTTGATGAGCTGGAGAGAGGAGAGAGCGGAGAAGAAAGTGATTACATCGTGGGAACACTTCACTCTGGAGGTCCCAAGGTGGTAATAGCAGTGATGTATAACCCACCACAGAACAGCAGGAGGCCAAGGCAAGAGTACGACGAGAGCAATAGGGCGATGGTTGACACACTGGCTAGAGTGGCCAGAAGAGCTCATGCATGCAGGGCAAAGCTCCTGATCATGGGTGACTTTAACAACAAGGAGATCGATTGGGAGAACTTGGACCCACATGGGGGCCAAGATACATGGAGGGCTAAGATGATGGAGGTGGTACTGGAAAACTTCATGTGCCAACACGTAAGGGACACTACAAGAGAGAGAGGAGAGGATGAACCAGCAAGGCTGGACTTAGTATTCACCTTGAGTAGTACAGATATCGAGGACATCACATATGAAAGACCCCTTGGGGCCAGTGACCATGTGGTTTTAAGCTTCGAATACACAGTAGAGCTACAAGTGGAGGGAGAAGCAGGAAGGCCAGGACGAATGAAGCCAAACTACAAGAAAGGGGACTACACAGGAATGGGGAACTACCTGAACGGGGTTCAGTGGGACAGAGAACTGGCAGGGAAGCCAGTTAATGAGATGATGGAATATGTAGCAACAAAATGCAAGGAGGCTGAGGAGAGGTTTGTACCCAAGGGTAACAGGATTAATGAAAAAGCCAGGATGAGCCCATGGTTTACCCAAAGGTGCAGGGAGGCAAAAACCAAGTGTTCTAGGGAATGGAAGAAATATAGAAGGCAAAGGACCCAGGAGAATAAGGAGAACAGTCGTAGAGCCAGAAACGAATATGCACAGATAAGAAGGGAGGCCCAAAGACAATATGAAAATGACATAGCAGCGAAAGCCAAATCTGACCCGAAACTGTTGTACAGCCACATCAGGAGGAAAACAACAGTCAAGGACCAGGTAATCAGGCTAAGGAAGGAAGGAGGAGAGACAACAAGAAATGACCGTGAAGTATGTGAAGAACTCAACAAGAGATTCAAAGAAGTGTTCACAGAGGAGACAGAAGGGACTCCAGAAAGACGGAGAGGTGGGGCACACCACCAAGTGCTGGACACAGTGCACACAACCGAGGAAGAAGTGAAGAGGCTTCTGAGTGAGCTAGATACCTCAAAGGCAATGGGGCCAGATAACATCTCCCCATGGGTATTGAGAGAGGGAGCAGAGGCGCTATGTGTACCCCTAACAACAATATTCAATACATCTATCGAAACAGGGAGATTGCCTGAGGCATGGAAGACAGCAAATGTAGTCCCAATCTTTAAAAAAGGAGACAGACATGAAGCATTAAACTACAGACCAGTGTCACTGACATGTATAGTATGCAAAATCATGGAGAAGATTATCAGGAGAAGAGTGGTGGAACACCTAGAAAGGAATGATCTCATCAACAGCAGCCAACATGGTTTCAGGGACGGGAAATCCTGTGTCACAAACCTACTGGAGTTCTATGACATGGTGACAGCAGTAAGACAAGAGAGAGAGGGGTGGGTGGATTGCATTTTCTTGGACTGCAAGAAGGCGTTTGACACAGTTCCACACAAGAGATTGGTGCAAAAACTGGAGGACCAAGCAGGGATAACAGGGAAGGCACTACAATGGATCAGGGAATACTTGTCAGGAAGACAGCAGCGAGTCATGGTACATGGCGAGGTGTCAGAGTGGGCACCTGTGACCAGCGGGGTCCCGCAGGGGTCAGTCCTAGGACCAGTGCTGTTTCTGGTATTTGTGAACGACATGACGGAAGGAATAGACTCTGAGGTGTCCCTGTTTGCAGATGACGTGAAGTTGATGAGAAGAATTCACTCGATCGAAGACCAGGCAGAACTACAAAGGGATCTGGACAGGCTGCAGACCTAGTCCAGCAATTGGCTCCTGGAGTTCAATCCCACCAAGTGCAAAGTCATGAAGATTGGGGAAGGGCAAAGAAGGCCGCAGACGGAGTACAGTCTAGGGGGTCAGAGACTACAAACCTCACTCAAGGAAAAAGATCTTGGGGTGAGTATAACACCAGGCACATCTCCTGAAGCGCACATCAACCAAATAACTGCTGCAGCATATGGGCGCCTAGCAAACCTCAGAACAGCATTCCGACATCTTAATAAGGAATCATTCAGGACCCTGTACACCGTGTATGTTAGGCCCATATTGGAGTATGCGGCACTAGTTTGGAACCCACACCTAGCCAAGCACGTAAAGAAACTAGAGAAAGTGCAAAGGTTTGCAACAAGACTAGTCCCAGAGCTAAGAGGTATGTCCTACGAGGAGAGGTTAAGGGAAATCAACCTGACGACACTGGAGGACAGGAGAGATAGGGGGGACATGATAACGACATACAAAATACTGAGAGAAATTGACAAGGTGGACAAAGACAGGATGTTCCAGAGATTGGACACAGTAACAAGGGGACACAGTTGGAAGCTGAAGACACATGAATCACAGGGATGTTAGGAAGTATTTCTTCAGCCACAGAGTAGTAAGTGGAATAGTTTGGGAAGCGATGTAGTGGAGGCAGGATCCATACATAGCTTTAAGCAGAGGTATGATAAAGCTCACGGCTCAGGGAGAGTGACCTAGTAGCGATCAGTGAAGAGGGGGGCCAGGAGCTCGGACTCGACCCCCGCAACCTCAACTAGGTGAGTACAACTAGGTGAGTACACGCTGTTTTCTAGTGTTGAACTCGAGGTAGACCGTAAACTTGGGGATGGTGCCTTCTGATCAAAACCGAAGGGCCTGGGGTCAATCCTTTGGCGCTTGGATAAATATATGCAAGACTTCTAACATCTGCTGCCCCGCTCTCCTAGGAATAAATAAGTTTTGGGTGTTATTGATCCAGTGTCTGCTGGGTGATCTAAAAAAAGGTGGCATTTCTGGCAAGCTATGACCTTTTCAGAAGATATCTAGATACTCGGATATCAGTCTAATTTACCGAAATGTAGACATATTATATGTGACGAAAATTCACAAAATGCATGAATATTGCATTTCAAAAGACCAATCCAAAGTCAAGAAAATAGTTGGCAAAAGTTGAGTGGTATATTTACGTTTTCCTGTTTTTTTCTGGTGGCACTAATGAAGAGTGATATAAATGGTTTAACGAACCGACGACTTGAAGAATTAGACAATTTTGTAGCATTTGAGACTCTTTACTGCTGAAAGTGGTTTCCTGGGCCCGGAATAGAGATAAATGGTGGAAGATGAGAAAGGAGTTTGAGGTAATCGGTCCCTTAGCCTTGAGTTGATGTGTTCATCAGTCCTGAGAAAAGTGCAGCATATAAGCTATAACGTTTCCACATTATAGATTCCCGAATGTTGCAAAAGTGTCAAATTCTCCAGCTAAAGAAGAGTGCTTAATAACCTCGAAAAACTTTTGCCAACTTCTTGTATGGTTTACGGAAGTGCAAATCAACTGAGACACCAACTCAGCCACAGAGTGCACAGATGATTTCTATATGGGCAGCTGTAGCCTCGATAGCAATAATCAGGGGTGGGATAAGACACCATGAAAATGCGTGTAACACTGAAACAGATTTTCATTGACCTGGTGTTGATGTTGTTGGCAGAGCACCAGTTGAGAGCGGTGATGTTTGAGATGTTTGCGGCGGGGATGGCGACCACCGCGAGCACCCTGACCATGGGGATGTACCTGGTGGCCAAGCATCCAGACGTCCAGCAGCGAGTCCATCAGGAACTGGACGAGGTCATCGGCAGGGAGAGATTACCTTGCTACGCCGATCTGGAATCGTAAGGAACCAGCAATATTATGTGAATTAGGATAGTGTCTTCTTCTAGACATGGAACTTCTTAGGATATGGCTGATATTGAAGACTGTTCATATTAATACACTGTGCTGTATATTGCTAGATGTATATTGGTAGCATTAATTTGTTTATGTTGAAGAATGAGATACTTGTGCTACATTTGGGAATTTATATTGAGGAAACGTTTCGCCAGTCATTGGTTTTTTTCAGTTCAATACAGAGAAGGACGGTGAAAAATGAGAAGGAGACTGAAGTAATCAGTCCCTCAGCCTGGAGTCGATGTGTTCAGTCCATCAGTCTTATATTTGTTTGTGTATGTAGTGTTGTCCAAAAATGGGTAGCAGACCTCTATTTGAAATAATTTTGCCTGTCAGACCGGGCCGCGGGGGCGTTGACCCCCGAAACCCTCTCCAGGTAAACTCCACTTAAGAATTACGGATCCGAATCGCCTTCTGCCCCCCACCACCGAAGAAAATATATAGGTCGTGAAACAAGTTTTAATTGGGTAAACTCTTCCCTTTGACTTCCTAAAACTCTACACGATATATTGCTCCAATAAACACCTGTTGTGCAATTTGTACATTTTCTTTCCCAAGACTTATAATACCGCCTTCTCAAAACCTGTTTACTTCATATTTCGCCAGGCAGTTGTATCCCCCTGGATACAATTATTGCATTAATCTTTGCTTCTATCCTCACTTCTCACCTGTGTTTCAGGCTGCCCTACACACGAGCCACTATACACGAGGTGCAGAGGGTCTTGAACCTCATAGCTTTCGTTGTTCACTGTGCACTGGAAGATTGCAACTTCGAAGGCTATGACATTCCCAAAGGTAACTTTTTGTCGTGAATACTTATAGCTACTCAGCAAGCTGTTGAGAAAACTGTAGGGTACTGGCAAGTACTTCACAGGTGGTTGAGGGTACTGCTAGTTACTGCTAGTACTCCACAGGTGGTTTAGGGTACTGCAGTTACTGGCAAGTACTTCACAGGTGGTTGAGGGTACTGCTAATTACGGCTAGTACTCCACAGGTGGTTGAGGGTACTGCTAGTTACTGGCAAGTACTCCACAGATGGTTGAGCATACTGCTAGTTACTGGCAAGTACTCCACAGATGGTTGAGCATACTGCTAGTTACTGGCAAGTACTCCACAAGTGGTTTAGGGTACTGCTAGTTACTGGCAAGTACTCCACAGATGGTTGAGCATACTGCTAGTTACTGGCAAGTACTCCACAGTGTTAGGTCTCTAGTTACTGGCAAGTACTCCACAGGTGGTTGAGGGTACTGCTAGTTACTGGCAAGTACTCCACAGGTGGCTTAAGGTCCTCCTAGTTACTAGCAAGTACTCCACAGGTGGTTGAGGGTACTGCTAGTTACTGGCAAGTACTCCACTGATGGTTGAGCATACTGCTAGTTACTGGCAAGTACTCCACAGGTGGTTTAGGGTACTGCTAGTTACTGGCAAGTACTCCACAGATGGTTGAGCATACTGCTAGTTACTGGCAAGTACTCCACAAATAGTTGAGGGTACTGCTAGTTACTGGCATGTACTCCAAAGGTGGTTGAGGGTACTGCTAGTTACTGGCAAGTACTCCACAGGTGGTTGAGGGTACTGCTAGTTACTGGCAAGTACTCCACAGGTGGTTGAGGGTAGCTGCTAGTTACTGGCAAGTACTCCACAGGTGGCTTGGGGTACTGCTAGTTACTGGCAAGTACTCCACAGGTGGTTGAGGGTACTGCTAGTTACTGGCAAGTACTACACAGGTGGTTGAGGGTACTGCTAGTACAGCAAGTACTCCACAGGTGGTTTAGGGTACTGCTAGTTACTGGCAAGTACTCCACAGGTGGTTGAGGGTACTGCTAGTTACTGGCAAGTACTCCACAGGTGGCTTGGGGTACTGCTAGTTATGGCAAGTACTCACAGGTGGTTGAGGGTACTGCTAGTACTGGCAAGTACTCACAGGTGGTTGAGGGTACTGCTAGTGCCAGCAAGTACTCCACAGGTAGTGTTGAGGGTACTGCTAGTGACCGCAAGTACTCACACGTGTGTGTTGAGGGTACTGCTAGTAGCAGCAAGTACTCCCAACGGTGTTTGAGGCTACTGTAGGTGCCATGCAAGTACTCCACAGGTGGTATGGAGATACTGCTAGTGCCCAGCAAGTATTCACAAGGTGTTGAGGGTGCTAGTGCCAGCAAGTACTTCAAGGTTGATTGAGAGTACTGCAGGTGCCAGCAAGTAACACAGTTGTGAGGTGTATCTGATTCATGGTCTGAAGGTAACAGGTTTAGCGTTATAGCAGGTCCAGCAAGACTTCACAAGGTTCTGTTAAGTTCTATTAATTATTAAATGGTGAATGGCTAACCGCAGGAGACGTTCTTGATCCCAAATTCTTTGTGCCTGATATCAAGATTGAAATTTAGTTCGATATTCTCCCCAGGACGGTATGCATTGGCCAACATGGAGGACGCCATGACGGACCCGAAGTTATGGAAGAATCCTGATGAGTTTGACCCAAACAATTTCCTCGACGATAATGGCAAATACGTAAAGAATGGGGCCTTTGTCCCATTTGGAATAGGTAAGTCAGTGTTATTTTCCCCCCTAAAATGACTTAATGTAACTTAAGATAGTCACCAGAAACCGACGGCCCATGAATAAACACCAGAATGGACGGTGGTTCGATTCATGGTACTGATAGGTAACGGTTCAGCGTTACCGCAGGTCTAACACTGACACACATCTTGCCACAGAAGGGCTCTCAGTAAAACCTTCCTATTGTAAGCCTCGTAGGTAACTGGTGCAGCACTGGACCTACTACCTGTCAGGACCACTGTTCGAATCCCTGTCCTTTCTTGTTTATTAATTGATAGTCGCTGATTATAAGTTATTTTGAATATATTTATATACACCCCCACACACACAGACACCACACCTAGCCAAACACGTATAGAAACTAGAGAAAATGCAAAGGTTTGCAACAAGACTAGTCCCAGAGCTAAGGAGTATGTCCTACGAGGAGAGGTTAAGGGAAATCGACCTGACGACACTGGAGGACAGGAGAGATAGGGACGACATGATAACGACATACACAATACTGAAAGGAATTGACAAGGTGGACAAAGACAGGATGTTCCAGAGATGGGACACAGCAACAAGGGACACACACACACACAAACACTCCAGAGCAGGGCAGAGCAACAAGAGCAAGCACCCCCAGAACCACACAAACAATCACGCTATCCCAACACAGATCGCAATCCACACTCACAGCTCCCACCTCACACTACACTGTAGAATCCCACTGTACACTGCCAGGTCCCCCACCTCACAGACCCCCCAAAACACAGTGCTGGAGAGAAAACTGAAGGTATGGTACACCAACGCTGATGGAATAACAAATAAGTGGGAGGAGTGGCACAAAAGAGTCAAAGAGGCATCACCGGACAGCATAGCCCTCACAGAAACCAAGCTCACAGGGATGATAACAGATGCCATCTTTCCAACGGGATATCAGATCCTGAGGAAAGACAGAGTGAACAGAGGGGGTGGAGGAGTGGCACTGCTGATCAAAAACCGATGGGATTTTGATGAGCTGGAGAGAGGAGACAGAGGAGAAGTGATTACATAGTACTAAAGCTTAAGTCTGGAGGTCCCAATGTGGTAATTGCTGTGATGTATAACCCACCACAGAACAGCAGGAGGCCAAGGCAAGAGTATGATGAGAGTAATAAAGCGATGGTTGACACACTGGCTAAAGTGGCCACAAGGCCTCATGCGAGCAGGGCAAAGCTACTGATCATGGGTGACTTCAACCTCAAGGAAATCAATTGGGAGAACTTGGATCCACATGGGGGCCAAGAAACGTGGAGGGCTAAGATAATGGAGGTGGTACTGGAAAACCTCGTGTACCAACACGTAAGGGACACTACCAAAGGCAGGAGAGGATGAACCAGCGAGACTGGACCTAGTATTCACCTTGAATAGTGCAGATATTGAGGCCATCACATATGAAAGACCCCTTGGGGTCAGTGATCATGTGGTTTTAAGCTTCGAATACATAGCAGAGTTACAAGTGGAGGGGGAAGCAAGAAGGGCTGAATGAAGCCAAATTACAAGAAAGGGGACTTCGCAAGCATGAAGAACTTTCTCAACGGGGTTCAGTGGGACAGAGAACTGGCAGGGAAGTCAGTAGACGAGATGATGGAATATGTGACAACAAAATGCAAGGAAGCTGAGGAGAGGTTTGTACCCAAGGGTAACAGGAATAATGAAAAAGCCAGGTTGAGCCCATGGTTCACCCAAAGGTGCAGGGAGGCCAAAACCAAGTGTGCTAGGGAATGGAAGAAGTATAGAAGGCAAAGGACCCAGGAGAATAAGGAGACCAGTCGTAGAGCCAGAGATGAATATGCACAGGTAAGACAGGAGGCCTAAAGGCAATGAGAATGACATAACAGCAAAAACGAAATCTGACCTTAAACTGTTGTACAGTCACATCAGGAGGAAAACAACAGTCAATGACCAGATAATCAGGCTGAGGAAGGAAGGAGGGGAGGTCACAAAAAACGACCACGATGTATGTGAGGAGCTCAGCAGGAGATTCAAAGAAGTGTTCACAGAGGAGACAGAAGGGCTTCCAGAAAGGCAGAGAGGTGGAGTACACCGTCAAGTGTTGGACACAATACATACAACCGAGGAAGAAGTGAAGAGGCTGTTAAGCGAGCTAGATACCTCAAAGGCGATAGGGCTGGATAACATCTCTCCATGGGTCATGAGAGAGGGAGCAGAGGCGCTGTATGTGCCACTAACAACTATCTTCAACACATATATGGAAACAAGATGACTACCGGAAGTATGGAAGACAGCAAATGTGGTCCCAATTTTTAAAAAAGAAAACAGACACGAAGCATTAAACTGCAGACCAGTGTCACTGACGTGTATAGTATGCAAGGTCATGGATAAAATTATCAGGAGAAGAGTGGTGGAGCACCTAGAAAGGAATGAGCTTATCAACAACAGCCAGCACTGTTGCAGGGACGGGAAATCCTGCGTCACAAACCTACTGGAGTTCTATGACAGGGTGATAGCAATAAGACAAGAGAGAGAGGGGTGGGTAGATTGCCTTTTCTTGAACTGTAAGAAGGCGTTTGACAAAGTTCCACACAAGAGATTAGTGCGGAAGCTGGAGGACCAGGCAGGGATAACAGGGAAGGCACTTACAGTGGATCAGGGAATACCTGTCAGGAAGACAACATCGAGTCATGGTACGTAGCGAGGTGTCAGAGTGGGCGCTGGTAACGAGTGGGGTGCCACAGGGATCAGTCTTAGGACCGGTGCTGTTTCTGGTATTCGTGAACGACATGACGGAAGGAATAGACTCCGAAATGTCCCAGTTTGCAGATGATGTGAAGTTGATGAGAAGAATTCAGTCGGACGAAGACCAAGCAGAACTACAGAGGGATCTGGACAGACTGCAGACCTGGTCCAGAAACTGGCTCCGGGAGTTCAACCCCACCAAGTGCAAAGTCATGAAGATTGGGGAAAGGCAAAGAAGACCACAGACGGAGTACAGTCTAGGGGCCAAAACCTACAAACCTCACTCAAGGAAAAGGATATTGGTGTGAGTATAACACCGGGAACATCTCCTGAGGCTCACATCAACCAAATAACTGCTGCAGCATATGGGCGCCTAGCAAACCTAAGAGCAGCAGTCCGACATCTAAATAAGGAATCGTTCAGGACCCTGTACACCGTGCACGTTAGGTCCATATTCGAATATGCAGCACCAGTTAGGAACCCTTACCTAGCCAAGCATGTAAAGAAACTATACACACACACACACACACACACACACACACATATGTATATATATATATATATATATATATATATATATATATATATATATATATATATATAATAATATATATATATATATATATATATATATATACCTCTAGAACTGTCCTGGGGACCCTCATCCTCAGAGAAAAGAATAAACTTGCTTCAGGGAAAACTCAAGGTTTTCCCTGAAGCTGTTTGAGAATTTTCTCCTACCACCCCCTATATTTCAAGTATGTTTTATTTAAAGACAAAATACATTGGCCAAACATTCACAAAAAATACAACAGAAAGTAAAACAACATAGGTAGCACTTGCAGACTCGATTGAGAAGGCCATTGGTGAAATGCCTATGATTTTAAACTGATGGAAGATAGAGGTATGGGTGTGTGTGGGAAACAAGCAGGTTGCAACACTTGGGTTGGAAACAGTAAATGTATAAAAGGCATTCAGCATGAAGTTATAAATAAAGACAATAGATCAGGTCAGCAAACAAAGGGGGACAGCAGAGGGCAGCAAGGGACTAGCTCCCTTAAGGTTTACTATACTAATAGCAGGAGTGTAAGAAATAAGATAGATGAGCTAAGATTAATTGCAAGTGCAGGAAACATAGATATTATTGCTATAACAGAGACCTGGCTCAATCTGAAAGATAGAGAGATGCCCTCTGAATGTCACATACAAGGCTATAAATTATTCCACACTGACAGGGTCAACAGGAAAGGTGGGGAGAGTAGCGATGTATGTCAGAGACAATTTAAATTGTTGTGTTAGACAAGATATTAAATTAGAAGCGTCAGCCACTGAATCTGTTTGGTTACAGCTTCTCGAGGGCCGAGAAAAACTAATTTTGAGGTGTGATTTACAGGGCCCCAAATCTTGATAGGGAGTGCAGTAAACTTCTATGGGACGAAATTCGTAAGGCATCTACATACGAAAATGTTGTGCTAATGGGAGATTTCAACTATAGACAGATTGACTGGAGCAATTTGACAGGAAATTTAGAGTCAGGTGACTTTCTTGATACGATCCAGGATTGTTTTTTAAAACAGTTTGTGACAGAGCCAACTAGGGGAAATAACCTCCTTGACTTGGTTCTTGCCAGTAGGGAAACACTAATTAATAATCTTGAGGTTAATGATGAGCTTGGGGAAAGTGATCACAAATCACTCAGTTTTAATATATCATGGAATTCCCCTAATAATGGCAATTCAAGTCTCCGTCCCTGACTTTCGCTTGGCTGATTTCATAGGACTGAAAAATTACTCAGGTGGGCTGAACTGGAATGACCTGACTAAGGGTCAGGTAGGTGGTGATGGTTGCCGATATGATGCTTTCCAGGGCATAGTTCTAGCTGCTCAGTCAAATTATGTTCCAAATAGGGAATTCAGATCAAACAAAAATGATCCTAAATGGATGAACAATAGATTAAAATATCTGATTGGTCAAAAGAGAGGCATATATAGGCAAATCAAAAGAGGAGAGGGGCAATTGAGAAATCGATATATTCAGTTAAAGAGAGAAATAAAAAAGGGAATTAGAAAAGCAAAAAGAGATTATGAGGTTAAAGTTGCAAGAGAATCGAAGACTAACCCAAAAGGATTCTTTCAGGTATACAGAAGTAAGATCAGGGACAAGATAGGCCCACTCAAAAGTTCCTCGGGTCAGCTCACTGACAGTGATAAGGAAATGTGTAGAATTTTTAACACATACTTCCTCTCAGTTTTTACACAGGAGGATACCAGCGATATTCCAGTAATGATAAATTATGTAGAACAGGACGATAATAAACTGTGCACTATTAGGGTCACAAGTGACATGGTCCTTAGGCAAATAGATAAATTAAAACCTAACAAATCCCCAGGCCCTGATGAACTGTATGCAAGGGTTCTAAAGGAATGTAAAGAGGAGCTTAGCACACCTTTGGCTAATCTTTTCAACATATCACTACAAACTGGCATGGTGCCAGATAAGTGGAAAATGGCAAATGTGATACCTATTTTCAAAACAGGTGACAGGTCCTTAGCTTCGAACTATAGACCAATAAGCCTAACCTCCATAGTGGGAAAATTTATGGAATCAATAATTGCCGAGGCAGTTCGTAGCCACCTTGAAAAGCATAAATTAATCAACGAATCTCAGCATGGTTTTACAAAGGGGCGTTCCTGCCTTACGAATTTATTAACTTTTTTCACTAAGGTATTTGAGGAGGTAGATCATGGTAATGAATATGATATTGTGTATATGGACTTCAGTAAGGCTTTTGACAGGGTCCCACATCAGAGACTATTGAGGAAAATTAAAGCACATGGAATAGGAGGAGAAATTTTTTCCTGGATAGAGGCATGGTTGACAAATAGGCAGCAGAGAGTTTGCATAAATGGGGAGAAATCAGAGTGGGGAAGTGTCACGAGCGGTGTTCCGCAGGGGTCAGTGTTGGGCCCCCTGCTGTTCACAATCTACATAAACGACATAGATGAGGGCATAAAGAGCGACATCGGCAAGTTTGCCGATGACACCAAAATAGGCCGTCGAATTCATTCTGACGAGGACATTCGAGCACTCCAGGAAGATTTGAATAGACTGATGCAGTGGTCGGAGAAGTGGCAGATGCAGTTTAATATAGACAAATGCAAAGTTCTAAATGTTGGACAGGACAATAACCATGCCACACATTAACTAAATAATGTAGATCTTAATATTACGGATTGCGAAAAAGATTTAGGAGTTCTGGTTAGCAGTAATCTGAAACCAAGACAACAGTGCATAAGTGTTCGCAATAAAGCTAATAGAATCCTTGGCTTCATATCAAGAAGCATAAATAATAGGAGTCCTCAGGTTGTTCTTCAACTCTATACATCCTTGGTTAGGCCTCATTTAGATTATGCTGCACAGTTTTGGTCACCGTATTACAGAATGGATATAAATTCTCTGGAAAATGTACAAAGGAGGATGACAAAGTTGATCCCATGTATCAGAAACCTTCCCTATGAGGATAGACTAAGGGCCCTGAAACTGTACTCTCTAGAAAGAAGTAGAATTAGGGGGGATATGATTGAGGTGTATAAATGGAAGACAGGAATAAATAAAGGGGATGTAAATAGTGTGCTGAAAATATCTAGCCTAGACAGGACTCGCAGCAATGGTTTTAAGTTGGAAAAATTCAGATTCAGGAAGGATATAGGAAAGTACTGGTTTGGTAATAGAGTTGTGGATGAGTGGAACAAACTCCCAAGTACCGTTATAGAGGCCAGAACGTTGTGTAGCTTTAAAAATAGGTTGGATAAATACATGAGTAGATGTGGGTGGGTGTGAGTTAGACCTGATAGCTTGTGCTACCAGGTCGGTTGCCGTGTTCCTCCCTTAAGTCAATGTGACCTGACCTGACTAGGTTGGGTGCATTGGCTTAAGCCGGTAGGAGACTTGGACCTGCCTCGCATGGGCCAGTAGGCCTTCTGCAGTGTTCCTTCGTTCTTATGTTCTTATGTTCTTATGTAACTCAGAGCTACATCTCGAATACTTCGTCCAGCTCCCCTGCGGTGGGCCGCGTGCCCAGAATGCTGCAGGCATTTCCTCTCTGGATCGCAACACTGAGTCTCTGAAAGAGGAAGCTGGTCGCCCTGTGGTCCTTGGTTTCTATGATGAGCTTTTCACCCAGCTCTTTGAGAAACTTTAGAGCACACTTGCCCTATGCTCCAAGGGTCTCCGACCCTATTGGAATGAAGTTATAGCAATGGGGAAGGTCTTCATATTTTCGGATCTTCTGGGTCTCCCTGTGGCTGGCAGCTCCACCCCCTTCCACTACAGAGTATGGCAAGTAGGTGTCTGCCAATGTGGCGGCACAGGTGTAGTCCCAGGCAATCTGCTTTCAATCCTTCCAGGGTAGCATAGTCACTCCATCAGGACTCTTTTGACTTCCATCAGACCTCTGTACTTGGGGTTCCCGTTGAGCTGGGCAACGGGCTGTGGGGAGGCTTCTCTTTATGATGTCATTGACCTCCTCATGTCTGGCATACTTCCCTTCTGCTGTGTGACACACGAGACCATAAAGTCCGAATTGATCAGCTGTCACCCTGCCGCAAATATACCTATGTTCGGTGAGGATGGGGGCGGCTAGGCGAAGAGCAACACCAATCCGAATGGCCTGTGGGTCGAGTCGGGTGCCCAGGGAGGAATTGGGAACAGCTAACAGGAAATCTCCTGAGTGTGGTGCCTTCACTGCCAGGAGACGAGCTTTGTCCTTTCCTGAAGCATTGGAGAGCATTGTGTTGGCGATATTTTCCATGATCGGTTTTTCCCAATGGGACTGTTTGTGCTCTTCGGGAGGAGCTGGTCTACTGGAGGAGTCTGTAAGGGTGTCCCACCGAATCGCTGCTTCAGTAAACCTGGGGTCTTGACCTCCTACCAAGTCTCTCAAGCGTTCGGGAACTATCTTCTTGACTAATGCACTGGAAGCCAAACACGAAGACAGAAAAGCAGGTAAAGCAACATGCTGCCGAATAGGTAAAAGTGGTTAATTAGCAAGAACTCATTTACAGTTAAGTCCTTTCTAATATTTTCTCATACGCTATACTTCAAGATATATATTTTTTTCATTTAGGTTAATATAAAAAATAGTAATTTTGTGCCAAAAGAACCTTAGAAAACTTACCTAACCTTATTATAACAAGCGCAATTTAATTTAACTTAACCCAACTAAATGTATTTTAGATAAGTTTACAATAATTTAATAATAAACAAACACAATGAAATATATTTTTTTCGTTATGTTCAGAATGATTCTTGCGAAATTATTGCATATAAAACTTTTCGGTTGTATTATTCGGGTGGACTTCAGAGTCCATATCGAGGTGAGACACGTCGATACACTAATAAAATATTGATTAACAAAATAATTATCTACTACATAAACATCTCTGTACACAATAAGTCGCTACTCGAGGGCAAACAATACATTGCGACTGTTATTGTCTGGGTAACTCTAGTGTTTCATGTGTATTAGGGTGTAAAATTCCTGATGGAAGCATCGCTAAAATTTTCTCCTCTAAGCATAGGTTAACTGTGAAAAGATGCAACGTCTTTGCACCTCTTCTTCCTTGCCTTCCACTACAGTGTCTGTTGTATTCTTGCAGGGAAGCGGCAGTGTGTCGGTGAAGCTCTGGCTCGCATGGAGGTCTTCGTCTTCCTCTCCAGCCTCTTCCAGAAATTCACCTTCACCCTAGTGGGGGAAGAGGTCCCACCTGGCAACCTCTACACTTTCAACGCTCCCGTCGAGTTCAATGCTGTAGCTCACGTGAGACCGCATCTGTAGGGCCTACCTCCTCCTGCGTGACAACTACACCGTGACAGAGATCTCTCTACGAATTCTGAATTATGGCAATATTGTCAACGAATACTTCTGTAAAGTCCTATAAACTAAAGTCCCATAATCAAAGCCATCATAAAGTCGCATAATCTAAGGCGGTTTCTATAATGTCTTCTTAAAAATTTACAGCGTATTAACTGCTTTTCTACATCTACAATATGGCAATAAGTTAATATTTGATGTTATAATAGCTCTTGCAAGGCTTTGTTTCCTAAAAAAAAAAAAGAACAAAAGATAGCTGACTTTCCACTCACTTTACTGATCGACAACAACACAAACAGAGGAAAGTTGACGTCCAACTTTACTCATCTAAAACAACAGGAACATCAGACATATTGATGTCCCACTTACCTTGTTGATCCAGAACAACAGGAACATCAGACATATTGATGTCCCACTTACCTTGTTGATCCAGAACAACAGGAACATCAGACATATTGATGTCCCACTTACCTTGTTGATCCAGAACAACAGGAACATCAGACATATTGATGTCCCACTTACCTTGTTGATCCAGAACAACAAGAACATCAGACATATTGACGTGCCACTCACATTTTTGATGCAAAAATAATGCAAACAAATAAAGAGTTGAAGTTGGAGTGACATCAGTGACCCTCACTAAACTAAACCATTAAACCATGTATCTTATACCACAAAAAAAGCGCCGTAATTATATAATCATCATATAAATGTAATGAGAGAGTCGCCGCTCATGCACACAAAAAAATAAAAAATGAAAAGAACCATAAAGAAAAGAATTATTATGTCTTTCATATAACAAATCGTCTTCATTTGTGTTGAGGTATTTTGTGATACTAAATATATTTAAAAAATAGTTTTTTGACACAATGCACTGTACACTCAGGCGTCATTTGACAGTGAAAATATAATGACGTGTTGACACTGCATACATGTAATGATATATTGTTTGACACAGTGAATAGTAAGTATTCTGGCACTGACCAACTTTGTGTAATTTGACAATATATATATATATATATATATATATATATATATATATATATATATATATATATATATATATATATATATATATATATATATTATATATTTATTATATATATATATGTAAATGAACTGAGACAGTTTCCATTTAAATGAAAAAATAAACATTGTTACAGCCTTTTTCTTTTCCTATTTTCCAGAGTGTTCTTTGTGTTGAGTGTTGTGTTCCTTATGTTGTGGTGAAGGATAGTGTGTTTGAGTGTTGTGTTAAGTGAGTGAGTGAGTTGTGGTGAATGTAAATTGTGCTATATTCGGTGTTTTGCTGTGAGAGAAGATGCTGAAGAAACAACCTTCATCTACACAAATCTTCGATTTTATATATATATATAATATATACATATATTTTTATATAATATATATATAAAATAATATATATATATTTTATTATAATATAATTATATATATATATATATATTTTAACGATAAAAA